GTGCGAAGAAAAACCTAGAAATTTTTTTTCTTTTTTACAGAAACCAATAAAAACGGTGAGGAAGTTATCTCTGGTGTGGAATCGATTGCGGCGGAGAGGCGAAGACAAATCGGAAATAGAAGTGAGGATTGTGAGAGGAGAAAGTAGGAAGCAGAGTAAGGTATCGAGCATGACAATGGAGGTTGATGTAGTCTCGAAGCATTTGCTTTCTCCGGCGAACCCTTCGACGCCGGATAAAAAAGAGGATCGGATTTTGGTTTTGGATCGGATAATCTCGTATTAATCCAGTTAAAAAGCTTTGGAATGGTTAAGTAATGATTTAAAAACAGTAAACCAAGCATTAAACCATCTTTGTGGGCAAATAAACATGAAACTTTTATGTGGTGGTGATATACACATTTAACTTCTAATTGGTGGAGATATACACATTTAACTTTTAGTTCATGGAGATATATACAGAGGGTAACATTTGGGAGACATATACGCGTATATCAAAGTTTTGGTGGGGAAATAGATAGTTTTTCCCCTATTTTAGAAGCTCAAACATTGGAAGGTGAATATTTACTTTTTTAAAAGACAGAATCGTTAACGATAAGTAAAGAATCCGACCCCAAGAAAAACGTATTAAACATAATCCAACACAGAGGAAGGATTGAAAAACAAGATAAAACTGAGACAAAGTCGGATTGAAAACAGATAAACAAAACAAAACAAAAAAATTTAAACTAGTCGGAAGTATTAACATATCCGGACTTAGCCATCAATTATTTGCGATTAACATTGGAACCCATAAAGCTTCCTTTCTCTTAAATATTTGAGTGAGAGAAGAGAGAGAAAGCACAATAAGTCTTTTTGGTTTTGTCAACGATTCTTACCAATTTGATGGTCTAAGCAAAACATATTTGATGAAAAGAAAAACTGCTATCCATTATTAGATCCCCAATTTTTTTTTTTAGAAACTAAAAAAAATACATGATAGTTTGTGGGAGTCGAAACTAGCACAATTAATATTTGTCGAGACTTTTGAAAGACAACTGAATTTCTTGTTTAAAACCATAACAAAGAGATCAAAATATTGCTTTATTGTTATTAAGAAAGTTTTAGCGTACAAGTGTTTGTGAATTGATTTTCGGACCCGTTTCTCAAAGGATATGCACACATATATATATATATGCTAATCTAAGTCGATTAAGTCTGTTCCTAAACTATAAATCCCATTATTCTCGACATCGTCTAAGTCAACTACATCTTCGTGGGTTTCGTCTTGAGATAGTTTCAGGCTGGATCTATCACTTCAGCCCACTCTTATTTCGTCAAACCGATATGTGCACATTCTTTTCGTCGAGTCGACTTCATCATAGTGCCTAAGTCAAGTCGACTTCGACACAACGTCGACATCGTCCTGAAGATGATTTTGACAGAGATGGTAGGTTCATCACGAAGGTGACTTCAACGCAACGTTGACATCGACCCGACGATGACTTCGGTGCAGTGTCGATATCGGCGCGAAGGCGACTTCGGCGCATTGTCGACACCAACCCGAAGATAAATTCGACGTAGTGTTGTCATCAGCACGAAGAAGAATTTGGTGCAACGTTGACATCCGCTGGAAGATGACTTTGGCACAGTGTCGACATCGGCACAAAGAAGACTTCGATGCAATATCGACATCATCACGATAATTGATGTAACTTTCTAATCGTTGATTAAAATGACTTCAAAATTCTTTTAGATGAAAGGTGGCTCAATAATTTATCTCACTTTTAAATTTCAGCTAGTTGTGTTTTCAAGTCTGGCTTAACACGTCTCCTCTATAATTGCTGTCGTCTCTTCGTGACTTCGGCAAAAACCAAGTCACCTCGTCCGGCTTAACACGTCTCCTCTATAATTGATGTAACTTTTTCACTGTTGATCCGAATGACTTGAAATTTCTTTTGGGTGAAAGGTAACTCAATTATCTATCTCGTGTCCAAATTTTGGCTTGTTTGGTCTTCAAGTTGAGTCTTGCCGATGTCGTCTCTTTGGCACTTTGGCCACTTTGGCCATATTGACACGTCCTCGATAAATTGGGTATATCTTGCCAACTGCAAGTCCAAATGAATGATTCCAAGTTCATTGAAAAGCTAACTCAAAGATCTTGCTCGCCATGGTGAATTTGACATAGTGGCTTTTGCAGCCCCTTAAACCTGGTGGTTAGTTCGACATGGTTTGTGTTTGGCATGAAGTTTTCTTTTTCTTACTTAGTCGTTTCTAACCAAAATTCTCGAGAGTGGGAAATACAACCCCAACATAGGTATTTTCTATGTTTCTAGGCAAATTCAAGGGAAAAAATCGGTAAATCTGACCAATTTACCCCTCATTTATTAAAGAGGAAGTGGTCCCTTTAGTTGTTAAAAAAACAAAACTTAAACGATTATTTATGATTTGATTATACTACTAGTTATTTAGAGATGATGTGGATCCCTCACACAATTGCGTTTTTCAAAATTTATTTGATAGTAACGTTTCTCCATGTCTCAAAGTATTTTTAGCGAAACCATGGATTACCATTGGATGATGTACGTTAACGTTTTCATCTTGTGGAAAAAATTTAAAGACACTTTTATGTGGCTTAGAATTTTGTGTGGTCATTTTCGAGGTATGGCTAAATACGGTTATGCTCGTGGGTTTACATGGCCGCTAATGCATGGATAGTAATTACTTTTTGTATGTTGTTTTGCAGGGTACCATGGATGTCTAATGTAGATTTGTTTACGGAGAATGGCGCTGTGAAAGAAATGGCAAATGAGATATTTTTATAGACATATGAATAATATCATTTTGTTTGTGAGTACACTATCATGGTCAACACATACTTTTTGTTGGCAACATTATACCACTGCATTGTACAACTCACACCTCTGGAGAACTTATACGACAGAGAGATTATAGAAGGGGGACCTTCGATTTGTCGAAAAAATTATAGACGGCGGACCTTCGATTCGTCGAAGAGATTGTAGACGATGGAGCTTCAAGTAGCTGGAGAGATTGTAGCCAACGAAGCTTCGAGTCAACAGAGATATTGATATTTTTACTCATTCAGTGAATGTAAAACCCTAGAAAGCAAAGTCACGATTTCTTTTATTTTATAGTTTTATTTACTATCTAACTAAGTTAAAAATTAGGTGTTATTTAGTTAGTTGCTCCAATTGTAGTTTCCTGATTTTAGAAAGGGAAAGTTAATAATCTAAAACAAATAGTTTGCTTATTGCAAATAAAGTGCTTATCATGTAAATTGTTTTCTAAAAAGTAGCTATGGATGTATTCAACCTTTATTACTTTGTTCTATGCGAAAACATTTTTCGAGTGATATTTTTTTGGAACTAACAGAAAGTAAAAATTCAAAAATCGCAATCTAATGTATTTGATTTAGGAAATCAAAATTGTTTTTCAAAGAAAAATACTTTGAGACTCATCCTTTGGGTTCTCTGGACAATATGGAAGAACAGAAACACTTTTTCTTTGAAGAAAGAAGATTTATGGCAAGTGAATAAGTGGAAATAATAAGAGAAGGTTCACAAGACTGGTTTTTACCTCAAAGTGCCGATGATAATCAGAAGAGACGAAAAGAAAAAAAAATAGTATTGGAACAAGAAAAGAAGTGGAAAATCCTCCTAAGGGCAGGCTCAAATGCAACATTGGCTATGGATGGTCAAAGTCTCTGTCCTTAGGAGGTGCATCATGGATACTAAGAGACGATCAATGTAATGTGTTGCTTCAAAGTAGAAGGGCTTTTTGCTAATATTCAAAGTCTAGAGGAGATAAGATTTCAGTCTTTGTTGTGGAGTATAAAGAGTATGCAGTCTCTTTTGTCTTCATTGATCCATATTTGGTTAATGAGGTTTTAAGACCAAGATTATGCATTTTTATCGGTATCAGAGTGCATAATTGCTATATGTCCTTGATGAGTTAAGGACTAGACTCTCAAATTGGAATCAAATGCATCTAATAAAGGGGTTTCTCTCACTGCTAAAATTGTGTCAGTCGATAGTAGTGACTAAGTTCTTGAAAGTATAGGCTTAATCTTTTGTCTAGTATTTGACTTTTTTTTAGAACCATGTTGTAATTATTAAGAAGACTACATGATGGGCTGCCTAAAGCCCAAAAAAATTTACACCATTAAAAGCACAATAAAAAGTTGCCATAATTTGCATGTCGTGGAGCTCCAGCTCACAACCAAAACCTTTTTATATGGTCACTCAACCGCCATAATACAATGCATTTTCTAAGATATTGATGCCTTTAAGTTTAATAACCTTGTTGATGCCTAAAGCCATACTTTAATAACTTTCAGATGAAAAAAAAATTTTAGACGCTCGACTCGAAGTTGGGCTTGATTTAATATATAAAAGAAGAGGATTTTCGTTGGTTTGGATTCACAGATTAAAAAAGATTTCGGATCAAATGTGGATAAATCGGATCTTAACCAAGTGGCATCAATAGGTTCGGGACATTGGGGTTATTTTCGTCATTACACTCTTTTCCTTTTTATCTCTCTTTTAACGTCGGGACGAATCTAAGTTTC